ATATGTATATGTATCCATCAATTCCATCGTCAGGACAATTGAGAGTAAAAAACCAAAAATAGGGACCACCTTTGATGGGAAGGTAACAGCGTTCTGTGCGCCTTTGACGTTGAGTCATGCCAACCACATGACCACAGAGACATCTTTGGACAGTGCTGGCTCTTCGGCTTTGAAACGGAGATGAGCACCGCTGCCTAGAGTCAGGAATGACTAGCACATATGTGCGAGGGGAACGTTTATCTTTACCTATCGTAGGTCAGCACAACTACCTCCTCTTCGAGATCCCCAACAGAAATTCTTTCACACCAAACAAGGCTCCATTTTGTCTGGAATAGGAGTGGAAACAATGCAGTCTCACTAAGATTTTCAACCGCTCCCTTTCCCACAGAAACCCGCTGTTTGTTTGTATGCATGAGTATTTGACAAGAGTGGGCCGAAGTGTGGCACGATGGGCTTCCTTAAAGATTTGACGTTGCCTTGAGTTTGCATTTCAGGGTAATTTCAAAGTGGTAGCTGAATGTGAGGTGGGTGGGTGGGTGAGAGAGAGAGAGGGACTTTGCAGCAGGCTTTAGGGCAGCTAGCCATTTTCGTGTAATTAAATCTTGCCGATAAAACTTGACAAACCAGTTGGGAACAATGCATTTTTTAAAATTATCAGATCTCTGCTGAATGCTACTAAGGATCTGAAGCTTCAGCAAATGTTTATTTTTTCAGGTTTCCAAAGAATTGGTTTGTGTGGAATTTATTTGAACTAGGTCCAACTTGGTTTGGCCTGGCAAAGTTTGCCTACTGAGAGATTCGTCATATTGTCACAGTCCTGAATGAGTTTTTCATTCCCCTGTCAGAGAGCCGTCAGCGTAGGTTGACAGAGTTGCTCAGAGATTTCTCCATTTCCCAAATGCCCCCTTTCTTTTGGTTTTTTACTCTCAATTGTCCTGACGATGGAATTGATGGATACATATACATATACATATACATATACATATACATATACATATACATATACATATACATGTTGTATTTGTGCTGATAAATAAATAAAGGGAGAC